ACCCCTTTATCAATAAAGCGCATTTGCATAGCTAGTTGAACAAAACACAGTGTAGATGTACAGTGTGTAACATAAGTATAGGGCCACCCCGAAATCTAGCTATAACTTTTTAAATCGCAATTTTTTGAAAATCTAAAAGCAGAATCGTGATCAGCATCCAGAATTACCCCAGGAAAATGATTTTGGTAATTTTACTCATAAAACTGACCGGATGCCGGAACAAAAGCTAAAAAATCGGTTTCTGCAAGCGTAACATAAGTATAGGGCCACTTTAGGAATTAGTGGCTGGGCCGAAAAACGTGAATCCGGTCAACCAAAAATCATATTTTAAGTAGCCTGTCACTATTCGAAAAAATTTCCCAAAATTACTTTTTCTGGGTCCGTCGGGTGGTTGTGAGCCGCCGTTTAAGGTCAGTTCCGGTTGAACCGTCTGGATTGTCAGCTGGAAGATCAGAAGTTCTTATTAGAAAATCTCTAGGGCCTCAATATCAGTCCAGTAGACATTTCCTAGGTTCGCTAACTTTTTCGGGCTCATATGAAGTACTCAACCGTGTTTCCGGAACCATGAAAGAGCCAAGAAGCTTGCGAGTACACAAATTCTGGCAGTCAGCAGCCCCAGGCATCGTGGTTGATAACCAAAACTGAGAAAGCAAGATGATAACGGCTTCTGCAAAACGTGTGTAAGTCATCCGCATGCGTTTTAGCCGTTTTAGCCGTTTTAGCCGGTGGAGGGCCGGGCCGAGGATTTTCAGGGCCCGGCCCGGCGGGCCCGGATTCTCCAAATTTGAAAAAAATTTTGAAATTTCAGAAATTTTTTCAACTTTTTTTTGTGAAAGAACTATTTTTTATGGACAATCCTATCTTGAACATATTTTTTCTTGCCAGAAAAATTCTTCATTGTTTTCTGTTGACCCCAAAAATAATTTTGAAAGACAGAAATTTTTTTCCGAAAATCCGGGCCAAGACGGGCCGGGCCTGGCGGGTCGGGCCCTGAAAATTCTGAAAATAGCCCGACCCGGCCCGTTGCAAGTATGATAAAAAAGTTTCAAAACGTCACACAAAGAGCACCTCTCTATCGTTATTTTTATTCCTTCAAAAATTCCAAACTTTACGTATTTTTCTTTTCCAAAACGTCATTCTCCCATATGTTCGTTGTCTACGACACATCCTTTTCTCTCTACTCGTTCTATTCAAAAGTGAATATCATTTTTCTCTCTTCCCTGTTCCTTTTTTCCTCCTCTTCATCTTTTTTCCACCAAAGTCCCTGGAGCTTATAAAAAAAAGAGTGCGTATGTCCCATATGCTTGTCCCAATAGCAGCTCTAAACAAAATATTCCTTGACACCTTCCGGAACATTCCCCCTCCGTACGCTTACCCTTTTTACACATAATTGTCCTAGATGTGTAATTGTGCCGTATGAAAATAAGAGGATGTGTCTCTCTGAAAATGTGCCTGACTTTTTCTTTTTCCCCTTTTCTCTCATTATTTGGATAGATGGAAAAAGAGCGGGAATGAGGTTGGACGGTGTGTGTGTGTCTTCAGAAGACGTCGGAAGATATACTCATCAATTAATCATGGAGAAGATCTCATCTTGTATTTTTTTTTTCCACGCATGTCCCTCTCTCACATCTTTCATTCACCTTTTCGGCTTTGATTTCTTTTTGATAGAACTTTTAAAGTATGTTTCATATCATCTTGAAAGTATGTTACTTCAAAATTAACGCGTTTGAAACTGAAGACTGAATCTTGTTATTATTGCAGCCATTACATTGAACATCTCGAAATTAGCCAAAAAATGTTCTTGATTAGGTGGCCAATTACTCTCATTTTTTCAATGATTCCAATAATGCTCAAAATTGCAAAATCTGTTTCATGTATGTGTTTAATTTTATTCCGTGGTAGAAAAGTCAATTGTGCTTAATTTCATATTTGTAAAATTCCAGGCCGGCTCGCCAAAGCACGGGCTCGGCCCGGGCCGGGCCGGGCCTGAGGAAAATTTTAAGGCCCGGTAGCAAAAATTTTGTTATTTTGAACCGAATTTTGAGCTCTCAATACAATTTTCTATATTTTTTTGTGCTTTTTGGATTGTTTGTCTGTTTGATCAAAAAATATTTTTTAAAAACTCGAAAAAAATGTTTTGATCGAAAAAAATCACATAAAGGTCCCCCCTTATGTGTTTTTTGAAATTTTGAGGCTGGAAGCTGGGCCGGTTCATATATCAAACTACACTTCTGAAGATCCAGTGGGAAATTGGAGAGATCCAAACTGCAAGGTCCTTTCACTCTGACTCGATAGTTCACCATAACCGTTCCGTTAGGGAATAACATCAGGAATACACTCCTGGAATATTATATCTTTTTTCTGTTTCAATTGCAAGGTTAGTATGAGTGAATAATTTACTTCTTCAATGCTACTACAATGGCATCTTTTTTTTTTACCTGAACGGAGAATTATGAATTTGAGCCACTTTGCTGTTAATGAAGCAACTGTTCGGTGTCCACAGTCTATCCAATACTTGATGATTCAGTGAAAGATTTCCTGAAATCAGTTTTTATTATTTTCAAGCGTTTCTAGAATTTTCCAACCTACCTTTACAGGGACTCATATGCTGAAAATTCAAAGCTGGATCCAACCAAGTCTCGG